AGTTAAGTGGGTATACTAGAAATTTTATTATAAATTTTGAGCTTTTCTCACTACGAAGCTCATTGACTTATTGGTTAGTAGGTTTTTTTTTCTGTAAGTATTTACTCACATACATATATGTACATACAAATGTATATACGTATATAAATTGAAAAAAAAAAAATATAAAAAAGTTTTCACATTTTTTTTTTTCATTATCCTTTCATATTTCTGTTTTTATTACTTATAACATTTTAAAAATGTAGTCCAAGAGGTTTGCAGCATGATGGGAATTTTGGGAAAAAGAAAAATAATAAAATTTAGAGGGATTTCGAATATTTTCTAATAGATGTCGCAATATGTGAATAAAAACGCTAAAATTAAACCGGAAACATGAAAAATTAATATTTTTTTTTTTTTTCGAAAATCTAATTGTATTTCCATTCGGTTTAAATCTAGCTTGAGAAAATTCAAAATTTTTGTGTAAATTTAAATAATATTTTAAAGAGTAATTCTGTGTATATCAACAGAATATACTGAATACTGTACACAGAATGCAGAATTCTGTAGTGATATACAGAAGACAATTTTTATAATTACAGAACTAATTATCTTTTTTGAGTGGCGCTAGTAAATAATAATTTTTTAGAATTAGAACACAGTTACTCAAAAAATTAGTTCCGTTGTGTAATTACAAAAATCTTTTTTGTATATCACAAGAAACTATACCCACGATGGTCCTATGTCCTAAATTCTAACTTGAATATAAAAACGAAAATTAGATTTTAGTCTACGGTTTCATATATAATTTAAATGAATCTCATATTATTTCAGGAGATACTAGACTTGATTTATACGCCTAATATTCGTTCCAGGGAAATACATATTAAAAACTCTAATTTGAAGTGTATTCGAAGTGTGAATTAGAAAACCTATGTAAGGATATGGATTCTATGAAACGATCCTGAAATCTTAATCAGCTCGTATTGTTATGATATTTATAATATCATTGTTAAGTCATAAACATTTGGTCTAAACATAAGAAGAGTATTTCAATTTTTTTAATTATTTTTTGTCTTCTATTCACCACACTCAAATTCAATATTATAATTAATGAGTCCGTATAATTGGATTAACACCATTTTCTTGACATAGTTAATAATAAACTTGAATAAAATTTTCAATATTGTTTTATTAGGTATTCGTACAATTTATGCAGTTTTTGTTTTTCTCTAATGAATTCTTTACCTAGATTCTGTTCATTAATACTAGATTTAGGAGACATTCAGCAAAACATTGAATTTCACTCTTTCTCTACAGTAATTCAATTGTCATTTATTTTCGTTTTTTACATTTTATTCCCAAAAAAAAATAAAATAAAAACTATGTCATGCGCGAAATATAAAGTGAATATATAAATTTATATATATATATAGAGGTGAATATTTCTGTATAGAACAACCTCAAAGAACTTTGCCTTAACAATTTTTGTTTAGTTGTCACAATATCCTTTTAATTTTTCTTTCAATATTTTTCTGTTTTCATTTCATTTTTTTTTTCTGTATTTTATAGGTTAGGAGTTAGTTTTCCATTTTATCATATTCCAATGTGAGCTTTTTATAATTCACCTAAGACAACAATTCCAAGTGTGTGTTTAAATATTTTCATAATACTTTATCTAAAGATTCACATGATTTGATATCCTTTTACAAATACTATTACATTTTTATATTTATAATATACATAAGTATTTTATGGATATTCGAAAATTTTCGAATTAATGGAATGTATGTCAAAACAACAATAATTTTAGAAAAACAAAGAGGTGAGAAAACATGTGTGATTATTTTTTTTTTTTTTGTATAAATTATGGGAATTTAAAAGCTCAATTTAGTTTATTAAATAAAGCAATAAAGCATAATAAATTGTTCATAAATATTTTCGAAATATTAATAATAATAAAATTTTAATGATTATTATAAATGTAAAATAAAATTATTTGTAAATTTTATGTCGCATAATATGAAATTTTCATTTAAGAAAGGAATAAAAAAATTACACAGCTTTCTTGTGATTTTCAATAATACGAAAATTTTGCATATGTTACGGCGTTCCTAAATTTTTTTTTTAAATTTTAGCTTAATTTAAAACAATCAAGAGACTTAAAACAACATTATTTGATTTTTTAGATAGAAATCAATTAATTTCGAAAAGATTAATTTTGTTTGTTAAAAGAGAAACTGATTAAGCCGTAAATTAAAAGTAATCTATTAAAATCAATTCTATAAAAGAAAAATGTCTAATAGTTCTTAAGTCAAATTGCCCTGTTTTACAGAAGATTTACCTGATATGAATCAGAATTTTCTCAATAAACTGCGGTTTAACATTTTTATATAAGGGAAATATAAGGAAATTTTGAGGAGGAAACCCTTTGAGAAAATAGCAGTGAAATTATTCAACACAAATATATGTGTAGATTGTAAATTAAAAGAAATATATTTTATTTTCCAAAATTCTTGGCAGTAAAATATGCATTTGGCAAGATTTTTCCACTAATTACGAAAAATTTCTTGGGTTTGTAGAGAGATTAGCATATAAGCGCTTCATAAATTGAATATTATTCTAATAAACCCGCTCGCAATTAAAATTTCGTTTACATATTCAAAATTTCTTCTCTTATTTTATTAATTCATTAAGAACTTATTCAATATTTCTTAGTCTTAATTACAAATTGATCTCATTTAATGTAAGTTTTATATAAAAAAAAAAAAAAAAACAAAAAATTTTAATTTATTTCTTTGTACTTTAACAAAAATAAGAAATTTTTATAGAATTTTTAATTGAAAATTCACAATTTTTTTTTTTTGTACCAATTCAAAAAGAATTTCTAAATTCAATAAAAATTCAAATATGAAAAAAATGATTATAAATTTAATGTTTATTGTTTGTTTATTTTTAATAATTTGATATTTTTCTGTTTCTTTTGTTTTTGGTAAATGTTCTTTTAGCCTACTTTTGGAGTAACACAACTTTTATTATATAAATTTGTTTTTATATTTATATATACTCGTATATATATACTCGTATATAAGTACAAACTGGCATACAAATTCTGAAATATATAAAAACATACAAAAATTATAACATCATCTGCGCACAAAATTATTCTTGAATTTTGTTTTTGGCGCTCAATTATTAGATTTTTACATAGAAAAATATTCAAAATAATTTCAAAGCAATTGAGGTTTTCTTTATTCTAATTAAAATTTTTCTTTTTAAAGAAACAAAAATTTTTTTTGTATATTTTAATTTTCTAGTTTCTTTTCTTTTGTTTTTTTTTTGTTGTTTCGGTTTCTGTTACCACATATTACCTCTTATTTTAATGTATTTTGGGGAACACTAGGATAAGAAGTATTTTGTTGATCAATTTTTCTTCTTCTTTTTTTGTATAGCATATAAAAAATTATTTATTTTATAAGAATATTTTGTTTTCAATATTTTTGCGAGGAGAATTTTAAAAATTTTTATAATGTGTAAGGCAAAATTTGAAAAAGCTTTTCCAATATCAAATGAAACACTTTAAAAGTATAAGATTCTTAATTGGTAAAAATTTAACGTATCTATATTAAAGGGTTCAATAAATTTTCGCAAATTACTTTTCTTTTTTTGTAATACTAAATTGTGTGATAATAAATATTAATTTTTATTTTTTAGATTTATTCAAATTTAAGATCAAATACTTAAATTTTTCGTGTATTTCAACTACATATCTAAAATAAATTGTAAAAATTTTATTACCAAATATTTCACATATTCTATTATCTATAGAATCTATATCTATTATCTATTTTGCAAATAGAAAATAAGATATTTTATTAAACCACTTGTTTAAAAAAAAAAAAAAACAGTTTTTATTTTATTCCTTTTTTTCAAATTTATTTTTATAATTAATGAAAGAAAATTTTATGTTCACGATTTAACCGTATGATTCAGACTGAAAATATATTTTTTATTTTCTTTTTATAATTTAAAAAAAAAAAATCTTCTTCTTAGTTTTTTTGTTTTTGTGAGAAATTTTTGTATTTATTTGCTTTTTTTTTTTTTTTTTATAATATGTAGTGAATTTTCTATTTAATTTGTCACTTATATTTTTCTCCTTCAATTTTTTGCTATTTCAGAGAATATTTTTTTTTTGTAATTTTAAAGTTACCTATATAATTTTTCATATTTTAATTATGCATATATAAAATGTATTATAAATTTTGAATAATTGCTTTCATTCAAATTTGATGAATTCTTTAAATATGTATTAACATTAAATAAATGTGAAATTAAATAAACAATATTATTTTGGAAAATTTCTAATGGGTCATAAGAATTGAGTTAATAACATTCATTTTAGAATCCATAAATCAACTTAAAATATATTTTTATCTGAAATATGATGCATAGTTTCTGGTTTATATGAATTATTTAATATACATATGCTTATGGTTTCAAGTATGTACTCGTAAATGCAAAATGTAAATTGCAATTTATTTATATTGTGTGAATTTTAATAAGATCCTGAAGTTATTCAGATCCTGAGTTTTTATTGCATTTAATGTAAAGAGAAAATAAAAAAAATTTGCTATCAATTTGAAGAAGAATGAAATTTTACGAAAAGTTACGTTATTAATAAATTTAAAATTGTACTGCCGTGTTTTACAAAATTATGAAAATAATTTCATAATTTTTCCTGCAATCAATACGCCCGTGGAACAAAAGAACGAAGAAGTTCACTTCGTCTCATTTTTTTTTTATTTCCAATATATTAATTTGATAGCATCGGTACGATTTTGGAGTTTTGTACTATATTCTTCATACGAAAGTATAACATCGGGACGACTGAATTTATCTTTTATCTAAAATGAAATAATTTAATTTAAACCAATATTGAATTAAGCAATTTTAAACAATCAATAACCTTTAAATTTTAATCGAATTTTAATATTTTAATTTTGGCAATAATAACCAAAACTCTTTTCAAACAGAATTTATTAAATAATTTACGAGTCTTTTAAGATTAATTTAACATTTTTGTTAAGACGAAATCTAATAAAAAATAGCTTTTAATGAAACAACATCATTTTAAATAATTTTCTTATTAATAAGAGATTATCTTATTTTATTTTACATTAAATAAGAATTCTGAAATGTTGCTTGTGTTTACAAGATGAAAAATCATTTTAAAAAATTTATTTTTTTCAAATGCAGTAATGATTATTTTTGTAATTTGTAAACTTTATATAAAATAACAACTTATTGAAACTTTTCGCGTTTTTTTTTTTTTTGTTCTATTTTTGTTTTTCTTTTTTATATAAACGATTGCATTATAACTTGTCCAAGATAAATTCAAAATTCATTTTTGTCATTTTTTTTCAAATTAAAAAAAAAAAATTTATGTTTTACATATCATTTAATTACGCCGTGATTGAAGTTTCCGAATTGGATTCGATAACATGTTTTTTAATTTTTATCATTGCTACACCACTTGTAGAGCCAGGTGATCCACCAATTATTACAATAAACAATCCATTAGAAGAAACACATTCATGTATTTTTCTTATCCATTTATCAATATTTTCCATTGTTTTTTCTACTTTAGATAATTCCAATTGTTGTGGAGCTATATTAACGTTACATATTGTTAAAGAATTATCATAAACAACTTCCTTAGCTTTACTTATAGCTGCTTTATTACCATCCGTTACATAATAATGAACTTTATTTTGTAAAGGATGTGTTTCAGTGTCATCACTATTAATTTTATAATGTCCGTCTAATTCATTTTTTAATTCGGAAGGAATTTCCTTTGCACTTATAATTGTTGCTCTCTTTTCTACTTTAGAAACATATGCAAAGAAATTATTTGAAATATTCATTTCACCTAATTTTTTTGCTTTATTTTGTTCCTTTTTACGCATAAGAACAATGTCACCATAATCCAAGCTATTTAAAAGTTTTAATTTTGTCAATTTAAGACTTGCTTTACTATCTTCAATTGAATCGTGACCTTCAATTCTTTTTTGAATAACTTCGCCTAAAAATTCCTTAGCCAAAACTTGTAATTTTGATTTACGTTTTCGATCACCTGTCAAATTGAATATTACACTTGTATCAATAACATAAGGATGCATCATTTTCATGGCATGTAAATCAGAATTTAAAGATTGTCCAACAAGAATTGCATCAGATGGCAATAACTTTATTACATCCTCTTGAACTTGATGTAATTGTTTAGTAACGTTCATCATCATTTCAGCAGTAATGCCTTTTACATAAAAAAAAAGATTTCAAAATAAGTTCACAAAATTAACATTAAAAAAATTAATTTTTACCTGAATATTTAGTTAAATAATCGATGATAACATTTTTTGGCCTCACTAAGCTTTCATATACAAGTTCCATATTTTCATCAACTATTGAAATTCTAGTCAATTCATTACCAGCTGATGTTCTGCACATTTCACAATCAACCCCGAATAAGGGACTTGTTGATGTAACATTTTCATAAATGTTTTTTGTAAATTTATAACTTTTATATCTTCTTTCTAGCTCGCCACGCAAAGGAAGAGGATAGCCCTCCTCTACCATTTGTAAAGCAGATAATAGAAGTTTCGTTCTAGGAAATTTGTCTTCGACCTCTTTGCTTACCCTTTCCAATTTGTTTTCAATTTCGATCTTTTCACTAATTTCAGTATTTTCAATTGGAAATACTTCTTTTACCATAAATATAGGATCTTTGTTCATTTCGATTGCAGCCTCAATCGAACCATACTTTTCAATAAGCTGATCCTTTTGAAAAGCAGTTAGAGGAACAGTAGCTAATTCTTTTAACACTTTACCTTCTTCAAAAGTTGGTAAAATTACTTCAAGTTTATTTTCAAAAATTTTATTAGTTTCTTCAAATTGATTCTGATATGATAGGTAATGGAATAACGAAATACCTTCAACAATTAACACTACGGTATGGGATAATTTTCCAAGTTTTTCAACAGTACACCATCGATTTGGTATACATCCAATATCTAGATTAATTAATGAACCCATTAATAAATGCTGTATATCAGTTAAAAATATTGGTGTTCTACAATCATGATCAACCGACAGTAGTGCAAATTCTCCAAATTCCTTTAAACGGAATTGTGGTGCATGTTTTCTCTTGTTAATACTTTTTTTAATAGTTATATATTGTTCATCTGAAATTTCTGTATCATTATTACCCAAATTAGAATTATCGTTTTTCATATCATTAGATTTATTTTCACTTTCTTCTATTTTTTCAGATTCCTCTGGAATTTTGGAGTTTTCTTCTAACTTAACCTTCTTTTTTTTTGGTTCAATATGATCCGCTGGCTCATTTCTTTTAGAAACTTTGTCTTTATCAGCCGGAACTTCATCATCAGAATTTGAGATGGAATTTTTGCTACTCTCAATTTCTTGTCTATCCTTGTCATTTAATTTCATTACTTCAGCTAAAGCAGCTAATTTTTTCTTTTTTTTTTCTAATCGTTCCTGTTTCTTTGTTGAATTACTTTTCATCTTTTTCATCAGAATAATTTTAAAAAATGTACACAAATCAAAGACTTTTTCAAATTTTAGTAAACTAAAAAGAAAATCAGTTGTTAAGTTAGAGAATTGAATTAAATTATTAAATAATTTATTTTACTCACAATAAATAAACAAAATATAAGGAATGATAAATTATAAAGATTGATATTTTTAATTGACTAAAAGAACATATTAACATTTTTTCAGAATTTTGTTAAAACGATGGCAATTTTTCGTTACACCGCAATCTTTTGTTTTCATTACTAAATTAATAATTTATTTTAATTGAAGACAATTTCAAGGCATACTTACTTTAATACTTAAAATACTATTGTCGATTCAATTGTCTTATTTCAAATATTTTTTTTCTTAACAATTTTTATAAAAAAAAAAAAAAACTTGGACCAGAACAACACGCGTGTTTTTTTCTATCGACTTTAAAATCAAAACAAAACAGAGTAAAAATGTCAATGATTAAATGTCAAAGTTGAATATAAAAAATTTAGATGTTGCCATTGAATAATATTTTTTAGAGTTGCTGACTGTTACTTTTTAGAATAAACAATTTAATGCTGCAGAATTATTGTTTAGCAACTTTTTCGCAATATATTTGTTTCTATACATAAGAAAGTTGAATATAAATAACAATTTTGTATAAAATTAATAAATACCTTTATTTGGGCGTAAATACTAAAATAAATGAAATACTAAAGATTTTCTAAAAATTTAATCATAAATTTATTTTAAAAACTGGAATTAATTTGAAAAATTTATAAAAACGAAACTGCATAGCCAGATAAGATAAACTAGAAGAATTTGCTCAACCACCGAGATTAAGATTCAATAAATTTTAATTCTATATCGTAAGTAGGTACCTCATTCAGTTTCAATTGTTTTGTTGTTTTGATTGAATGTTTTCAAATAAGATTTACTGAATTTTCCCATTGGAATTTAAAAATTTTTTCTTAGGAAATTGACTCAAACTTGGTACTTTAAATAAAATATTGATTGAATGGTGGCTATACTTAATAAATTTTGGGTAAAACAACACATGGCATTTAATGTATCTTTAGTGACAATAATGTTTTTATTTTCAGTAAAAAGTTACATTGAACGAATGTAAGATACTCGCTCACTTTCTTTGCATTTGACGAGCAAAAAGACAAGTAGTATACACAATTGCAGAGTCCTTTTACTTTTCCTATTAAAAATATGGTCCTGTTACTATTCTATTTTACTTTTTACCTTAGGGAATTATAAGTGTTGAAGCAATTTTAAAAACAATAGGATAAATTTAAATTTTATAATTTTACGAATAATTCAGAACCACCAATATTATAAATTTTGTATAACCGAAACCCTCTTCTTTATACAAGTACTCTCAATAATAGATTTAACGATTTGTCGACTTATAAAACATTGAAAAAAAAAAACAAAACTTGTAATTACTTTTTTTTTTTATAATTCTTTTTATTTCACAAAAAATTCATTATATTTATATATAAATGTCTATATATAATTTTATAATTATATAACTATACAAAAAAGCATTAAAAATAATTGTATAGTATTACATTAATATTAGGTTTATCACCATTTAAAAATACAAATTCTATTTAATAAAAAAAAAAAAGAATACTAAAGAATTATGAAAAACAAAAAAGAAAATAAGTATATTTTATAAAGTGATGTCAATATTTTTAATTTAAATTAAAATTATTTGCAAATGGGAATATTTTAAAGTTTATTTCAAATTAAAAACTCATAGGCATTTTTTAAATATTTAATCTTTATAATTAATTTCATTTTACAATTATTTATTTAAAAAAAAAAAAACAAAAAAAAAAACATCTCAATTATAATGACAATTTTTTTTTTCACTTTTTCACTAAAAATAATTATTATTTTTTACTTATAATAAACTAAAAAATTAAAAACAATTACAATATTATTTTACACAGAGATTAAAACCCAAAATTTAGTTTTGAAACATCAAAAACGAGAAGAAATTATTAAATAATAAAATTATTAAATAATTTAATTCTAAATTAAAAATTCTTACAATATTTTATTACCTATTTTTTTTTTTTTATATATTTTTTATTTTAATAAACTAGTAAATTTTATATACTTTGGTTTCAGATAAATTTTAACTAAACTTAAATAATAATATTAGAAAAAAAAAAAACAATATAAAGGGAAAATATAATTTAAATGCAGTAGAATTTTTTAAAATAAAATTAATTAATATTAAAAAGTTTATTATCAATTTGTGTTTCAATAAATTCAAAACGAATAAAATAATAGCTTGAAAAAACTTACAAAAATTCAATAATTTTATAATTAATTTAAATTTTATTTCCGCTCTTATCTCTTTTTGTTAATATTTTTTTGTGTAACTTGAATAAATTATGAAATGTGATAGGTCTGTTTTTTTGAAAAGTTTCAATAGATTCACAAATATTATATAATATACAACCGTACAACCCAATATTTATTTTTTGTTTTTTGGAATAATATTAAATGGCATGTGAATTTAAAACTACATCAATTTAAAATTATTATTATAAATTTTTATTAAACTGAAAAATTAAAATATAAACATGATATTTTTAATTTTTATTATTATTATTATTGTTATTCAACTATATCTGCTTATAATTTTATATTTAATATATTTTATACACAAAAAAAAAAACAATTAATGGACGAGATTAGATAAAGTACTATTATGTACAAATTCAATTGATAAGATTAATATTATATTAAAAAAAAAAAACATTTAATATATGGAATGGCACCCATTTATTTTAATGTCTCGAATTAAGACAAATAGATTTTTTAAGATAAAGAATATAGAAAATCATTTATTTTGAAATTTAAATATGAAGATAACCAATTTGATTAGTTTATTTAAAGATTAAAATTATTATTCAAATTGGTAAAATTTTGAATTTCTTACTTATTTGGATTGAAATTAATTCAAGAAAAATGTTTGAAAATTAAGACAAAAATATATTATGAATTAAAAATGCAATCAATAATTTAATTTTGGAATTGAAATAGAGATAATCATTATCATTAAAATTATTAATTTTAATATAATATATTAATTTATTTAAAAAAATTTTTTTATATATACAAATATTTGATTTTATTATTGAAAAAATAATAATATTGTAGAAAGACTTATTAATCTATTTATTGCTTAAATTTTAAATATTATTTTATTAAATTATACAAAAGGATATTTTTATAAGATAAAATATTTAATAGTTTTAATGATTTTATATTAATATTTAATGTATATACAAATATTTATATAATATTTGTTTTTTTTTTTTATATATGAAAATAAATTGCTAATAAATAACTTATAAATATTACTTTGAATAATTAAATTAAATTTAAAAACAAAAATAAAATAATAATTTCAATATAACATAACCATTTTACACTGAAACCGATATTTCCGTATTTTTATTACTCTATCTGTTTTGTAATAATTGAGTTTTACGAATTATAATATTTAGGAATAAAAAGTTAAGAATATAATGTTAAGAAAAAAAATTAAATTTTGTTTTTTAGAATTACACATATGAAATAATATTAAAAAAATGACAATTTTATATTATGATATTTATACAAAAAGAAAAATTAATTTAAAAATTTATATGTAATTTTCTTTTTAATTAATTTTATAAATATTTTATTTTATATATTATATAATATATTCTTCATCCTATGTACTTTTACTGAAATTTTATTTAAAAGCATTTCATTAAATTTATATTGATTTCTAAAATATTTGTAAAATATAGTTTTTGGTGCAATTCGTTAAAATACTAATTTGAGTTTCTTAGGATAATTGAAAGAAATAAACGAATTCTTGTTATAATAAATTTTTAATAATAAAAGTATAAATTAATTGTTAATGAATATAGATTGATTCTCTTCATTGAATTGATTGAAACAGAATTAAATTATTAATATTAACAAAAAATAATTAAAAAGAAAATGGAAAATATGAAAAATATTTAATATTAAAATTTATGAAATGCTTTGCAATAAAATTCCAAATTTTTCATTTTGTTTTTTTTTTTTTTATATTACGTTTGTATATAATGTTATATAATTTAATAATGTTTTTATTTTGATAAAAACTAATAACTAATTAAAAATGATTCACTTCAATATTTTTTTTTTTATCTTATTATCTAATTTTAAAATTTTTTTTTTTTCGTATTTTTTCATTTTTTTTTCTTTTTACTTTATTCATTAATCTTAAAATTATTTTATTATAATTATATTTAATTTTTAGTTTCTCATTTTGTCTTTAATGAGACTTATGTAATTTTTTATTAATTTAATTTTTATACAATATAAGGTCATTTTTTTTTTGTCTTATTATAATATTTATTTTTATTTTATTTTCGGATAAAAATATGCTAAATAAAATTTGTTTCAATATTTTTTTTTTCGTTTTTTCACTTTTATTTATTATTATTACTTTATTTTTTTTTTGCTAATATTTACTTTAAAAACGCAGTCTGTTTTTCCTTTTATTTTATTTTTTTTTTCTGAATTATTTTATTTTTCATTTAATTTTCATTAAATTTCTTACAATATTAATGAATGAAGGAAAGGCTTTTCTTCAGCAGTTTTAAAATGGAAATGAATTTTAAATATTTTGTTTGTTTTTTTTAAGTAGTAAATTTTATTATAATTGGAAAAGTTCTATCTTTTATTTTTTGAAATTAAAAAATGAACAGAACTCTTATTATCACTTTATTGTGTTAAAAAATTATGATTGAAAAATTATAAAAAATAGTGAATAATGGAAAACATGATTATTGGAAAAAGGATGAAGCAAATGAAAGTATGACAAATATGATTTTTCTATTATTTAAAAAAAAAAATAATAAAATCTTATTTCTTAGTTTATTCTAAATTTATAATATTAAGGAATTTTTAAAGAATTTTATTAATTAATGATGGGGAATTCGAAAAATTGTTCTTTTTGAAATAGTTTTATTAAATGCACTTGTTTATATGAATTTTCTTATTATATTATAATTTAAAAATAATATATAATTTTACATTAATCTTAAATTTTATTTTAATTTATAAAAAAATTTCAATATTTTAATTAGCTACTATTAAAAATCATTTCCATATATTTTTAAAAACTGATTTTAATTTTAATTCGATATTTTATATAAATTTTTCTTTATTTATTTTATTATTTGAGAAAAAAAAAAAACATATTATAATTAATAATTTAAAGTGCGAGTGATAGTCCGAATTATTGAAGTAAAACAAAGAGAAATTTAAATTTAATTTTTTTCGGTTTTTCAAAAATTTTAAGATGAAATGATTTTAAGTCACAAATTATAATTATGACGTGAATTAATTTACAAAAATAAAAAATTTCATATATTTATTAAAATTACAAAAATAACCATAATAATTTATAAAGCAAATTTTGAAATTTTTAAATTGAATAAGTGCATAATTTAATACTGAAATAATTTTAATTAAAATTTGATAGAGAGTTTGATTTTAAAAAGCAATAATAGCTATAGAATTCAAAGATCAATCCAAAATCAATTATAAGATCAACTTTTATTTCATTTCATCTTTTATGAGTTTTTCTAAATTTAAAAAAAAAAAAACAAAAATAAGTTCTAAAAAGTTTTTGTTGCTTAATATTTCGATTTATACAATTGCATTATTAATTATTCATATAATTTTGTTTTGTGTATTTCATAAATTTATTTTATTAATTATTTATAATATTAATCATTTTAAATTTTCAATTTAATACAAAATCAGTACATACTAAGCAATACAATAGCTTGGGCTTTAAGTACAAATATGTATGTTTTCCATATCAATATTTTTTTGTTTTGTTTTTTTTTTTTTGATTCCATTATTAAAATCTAAATTTTCTTTTTAATTACAAAAACAAAAAACAAGATGAAATTATAATTTTTAAGTAATTAAAATTTATTAGGAATATTTATTATAAAAAATGTTATGCTAAGGAAAAATATAATTTTATTTTAAAAAAAGTTTTCTATAAATGAAGAAATTTTGTAACTTTGATTTTAAATTTTAATCAAATATTGGTTATGTTGAAACAAGTAACTCTTGACTAAAAACAATGGATGATTGTCAATTTAGGAAATAAAAAAACTTATAGTTAGAAAATTCAACTGAAATGATTTCTATAAAATTTATATGGTCCCATAAAGTATAGCCTACAAGTTCTTGAACATAATCTAAATATTTTAATGTTAGCATTAATTGGTTATTAAGCATTAATTGGTTCTCTGGTTATTTTGCATTAATTGCAAAAATATTGTAAAATTTATCATTTCAAAATTATAGAAGTCTCTAATTGTGGGTTTTTACCAAAATTTTCATCAATATATTTGAGATGTAAAAATAGTTCAAAATTTGAAAATATTTAAGAAATTGAGGTTACTTGTAATTAATATTTAAAAAATACTTTTAATTAATATTTTATCATATTAACTAATTACTTTTAATTAATATTTAGAAAATTTGAAGAGATCTTTCTGAAAAATAATTGTAAAAATAAGAATGACAATGGTAATGCGGGTTTGTAGAGTCACAAGTTTCATATGTAATAAAATTTTTTTAATCTCAAATAAAATGGAATATTCCTAATAAAGTTTTTAATTAAATTTTAATTTTTAAATTAAAAAACAAAATATTGTTTTTCTTTTATTTCGCATTATAAAATTAATTTTACAATTAAATTTTTTTGCTTTGTTTTTCTTTCACATTATTTAAAAAAATTTTTTACTACGTAGTTTTTGTTTTTTTAATATTTTAATTTTTATGTTCAGGTTTATAATATTTTATTATATATATATATAACGGTTAATTCTTGTTCTTTTTTAATTAATATTGTTTTTAGTCATTTTTTATTCGTTTATTTAGTGAAAAAAGAAAATATTTTTTTTACTCTTTTTTAAAATTTGAGTAAAAAAGAAAAGATTTTTATTCAAATTTTTTAATTAATTTTTCTCATTCTATTTCAAGGAACTAACTTTTTTTTTTATATTTTATATTTATATAACAAATTGATTGATTGTGTAATTGTTTATTTATTTTTTACTTTAAATTTTTTCTTTAATAATGATTTATTTTTATAATTTAAAAGAAATGGGAATTAGAAATTTACAAATGTAAGTTATGTGTTATACTAGATAAATATTATTAAAAAAAAAAATACAAAAAATATTAAATTACAAAATATTCAAGAAAAATTTGCAATAAAAACGTTGTTTAAGTGATTTGTTAAGAAATACTGAAATTTTCTGAGTTAACAAATTCAAAAATGAATAAAGGACGTGCTAATTTAAAATTATGTGATTCGGTTCATTTACCAATGCATATTTAAAAGCGGTTCTTTTCGATACCATATTAAAATTAGAACTGTTTTTAAAATATTTGAATTAATTATTGGACATAGAATCATGACTATAAATAAGAATCTTGGGTTCAATTTGATTGAACACAGATTGAAATTATTTTTTGTTGTGATAAATATCATATATTATTGTAAAAACTAATTTATTTTTACTTATTTTAGTTTAATAGAATAAATATTAAGAGAAAAATATTCTAAATGAAATGAGTATTTTGTGTAAAATTTTAAACTAAAAAAAAATTATTAGAATTTTTCAGGGAATTTGTGAGGTGCAATCATGCTTAAAGTTTTCATGTTGAATTTATTAAATTGTTTTTTTCTTTTTTTTTTTAAATTTATAGTTATTTTATTGACAAAATTTTGTGGAATGCAATTTTTTCTTATAAAATTATAATACTGAATGTTTTAAATAAAATTTATATATTTAAATATAAAATCAGTCTTGAAAATTGTCGTAAAATACGGAGAAAAAAAGAACCATTTTTACAATAATATATGGATATTTATTAATATTATCGTGCTATTCAACGATTTCTTATACGGAAAAAGAAGATATTCAACAAAAATTATATAGTCATTTATTAATTTATTACAAATTATAATAATTTAAGTTCCATATGTGTTCTGGAATTAGTTAAGAAAAATAAGAAATAAATTTTTGATCTTTGAACAAGAATATTGTTCCAATCTAATTCAAAATAAATTCGTAATATAAATTCATATTAGTGTGTGAATACAATTTAAAAATTATAATTTTTTTTTTTCATTTCTTAAGAACAAAGAGAACTATGAGTCCAAATTTAAATAAATTTAAAATTAAAAACAAAAAAAAATTATTTCAATTTAATCTTATTTTCTTGTGAATGATAAATGAGAAATTTAAATAGTGTGGTTCATATTACGAGTATATTTTTTTTAAAAAGAATTAATGAAAATTTTGTAATTATTACAATTAATTGTAATTAGATACACAAATTTTTGAATGTATTTTGTTAATAAAAGAAAAATTATGAAAAATAAATGTAAAATTCAATTTTAAAGTATAATTTTGTTATTGTTATCTCATTTGTTTTATTTTGGTTTCTTATGTTTCAATATTTCATTTAGATATTTTAATTTACATTTAATTAAGAAATCCTAATACAATAAAAAAATAAAAACTTGTTTTTAAAAAAAAATCATGGACATTGCTTTTTTCTATAATATTATTAGAGTCTTACATACTTTTTTTTTTCATATTTTTTTTTAATTTTTTAAAAATGCTTAAGAAAGGGATTTTAACGTGCAAATTTTATATGTATAAAGATATATATACACACATGTATGTTCTATACGTTTATATAAAATTAAAAATATTTATATTAAATATTTAATAAAAAAAAAAAAAATTAACTTAAATTATATTTAATTTTAGTCCTGTACTTCTCGATAAGGTACCTCCGACGTCACAGAGAATGACTCGAAATAATGATTTAAAAATTCGAATGTCGGTCGTTTTTCTGGTACAGCATCCCAACATTGTAATACCAATTGATAAATATTATCTGGGAAATAATGATTTGTTGGTTTTGGCATACGATAACCTCTTTCTATTTGATCAATAACCTCACGACTATGCATACCAGGATATGGTACTTGACCATATGTAAATAATTCCATAATTAATATACCATACGACCATACATCTGATTTTATTGAAAATTTTCCATATATAATTGCTTCTGGTGCTGTCCATTTTACTGGAAATCTTGAACCTTGTTTTGGACAATATTCATCATCTGCTATAACACGTGCCAAACCGAAATCACAGATTTTAGCTACATTATTTTCACCAATTAATACATTACGAGCAGCTAAATCACGATGTATTAGTTGTTTTGATTCCAAATATTCCATACCAGATGCTACTTGTGTTGCTATATATATTAAATCTTCAAAATGTAAGTAACGTCCATCACCTTCTCTAAGAAAATCTAATAAACTACCTTTTGACATATATTCTTGAACAATATATATTGGTTCTTCCTAAAATATAATTAATAATAAAATGTTTAAGAATTACACTTATGTTTTTAAATTTTAAAATATTGAAAATATTTTATTTAAATTAAATAAAGCACCTGAGAGCAAACAGCATATAAAGCAACTAATCTATTGTGACGGAATTTTTTCATTATGGCAGCCTCTTGTAAAAATGCTTGTGTTGACATAGTACCTTCTCTTAAAGTTTTAACAGCGACATCAATACTATTTCGCCATTTACCATAATATACTTCACCGAAATTACCACGTCCCAATTTACGTATTAATTGAATTTCTGAACGTGGTATCTCATATTTATCTCTTAATTCTGGTCCAAGATCCCACATTTGTGGTTGAGGTTTTGGGCATGGTCTCGATAATATATGACATAATCCAAGAGCATTTTCTAAAAATAATTTTTTAATTAATAAAAAATTAAATTTTTTTAAATGTATTACAAAATTATATTTATTTTTATTTTTTAACAACTTACTGCTATATGCCATTACTAGAGCTTGAAGTGATGGAAAAGTTTGATTTGTAGCTATATAATAACCACCATTATCTAATGGTTTTATTCTATAATGTTTAACATGATAACCTCTACCATCTTCCCAGTCTTTTACAGATAATGAAAAACCATTTGGATTATGTTCTGATGGCCGAACTAAAAATGTACCACGTGGATTTTCTTCAGCCAAAAGTAATTTATCAGCTTCTTTTCGCAATACATTTTCAAAGAACCAGCTGCAAAAAAAAATTTTTGTTTTTAATGATGAAAATTTTCACAATGAGATTCCTTAAATAAAATTGTTTAAAAAGTTTTACTTACTCTTCACTATTGACACTACGTTCCTCAGCAACGAAATTTAATGGTATGAGACCTTCTTGACGCGTTGATAAATTTATAACTCTCCACCAATCTGATTCTGTGTCGTCAATTACTTCCATACGATCACCTTTCATAAAACTTAAATCCGATTCATCACGTGATTTGTAGTCATACAGTGCAACAACTACACGACGTTTTGGTACGCCACCTTGAACACCTGTCAAAAACAAAACAAAAAATTTAAATTAAAATTTTAGATCAAATTTTTTTTGAGCAAAATGAAAGTCCTAAAATTAGTTAAAGCATTTTTTATAGCAATAATTTTAATCATCAAACAATACTTTTTTCTTAATCTTTATTTTTTAATTTGTTTTTTCTCTTTAATGTTCCAATATTATTCAAGATTATTGTGATTATTTCATTTTTATAACCAAACTCACACATACATCATATTCAAAATCGTTAGAATAATATAAATAAAATATTTAGTTAAAGTTAATGATCTAATAAAAACTGAAATTTGGACCATTGGATATCAAATGAAATTTCAAACATTAAAAATAAATTTATGGACAAAACCATTACCTGACAGAAAATTTATATTAATGGTTATTTATAATAAAAATGTGTACTAAAAGAATTTCTCTTGAAATAATCAATTCCAATAAATCTATAGAACTTTTTTTATTCCACATGCCCGCAAAAAAAGTATATATATGCGGATTAAAACCGTAAAATACAAAAAAATATATTTGGGGAGGAGGGGTAATCAATGAAAATTTAATACCGTTAGGTAGATTAAATGAGACATTCGATTGATTTATTTATATTATATAAAAATATTTAAGGGGCAAAGTTCCGGTACAGGTATTGGTTAATTTCAACCTATATTTTTCCTTCAAAGAATAAGTATTTATGGCTATAAATTAAAATTATCGAAAATGTCATAAATATTATTAAAAGGTGGCATCTGGTGTGAGAAGTGTCAAATATGAAAAATTATGCCCCTGAAAGGTTATTGATGCAAATTATTATCTGCTTGTGTTGTGACTTGACTATTCACAAATAAAAATTATTATAAGTATAACTTTTAATTCGTGGATGAAATGAAAAGTACAAAGAACTGTTTCAACTCAAAGGCGGTCATTCTGAGTTGCAATTTTTAATAAAATAAAATAAGTAATCTATTTCGTTCTTACTTCCCATTATTTCAAATAATCGCAAATGGATAACCTAAATTACAATTTTTCTGGACATATTACAAGTATATACGCACATACATATGTATTTCTCAAATATTTTAAATATGCACCATACCTTTATTCATATAAAATTTTATAACAGAAAATGGGAAGCAATAAGATTTATTTTTTCTTTTCTTCTTGTAATAATGTTATCAATATCAATGCCATATTTCACTTTTAATGAATTCTAATCAAAGTTTATTATTGACATTCCAATCTGATATCATCTTTTCATTCTTCAGCTTCTTGTCTTATATTTACAATACCCATAATAAGTAAGAGTATTATAGGTAAACCATTTGCTATAGAGTAGCTTTTATTTATGTTTATTTGTTAAATTACCATTATTAGGACATCAAATTTGGTTCAACATTAAATTTAAAGGTATGAAGACTGTATATGTGTTTCAAAATTGTTAGTTATTTTTATTAAGAACCAAAATAAAGATATTATTAAATAAAATAAATTTTTAGTAGAAATAATAATGAGTACTCAATTTCATACATATTTAAGGAGTATGGTTAGATAATAATAAAGAATTATATTAGTTAAAAAAATCCAAAAAACTATTTCTGAATTTTGTAAACCTTCATATGCACCCAATGCTGTCATGCCACATAAAAATTTCTATATTCTCTCATACAGTTAATACGCAAACCAATTATATTGTATTAATCGAATTGATTTTTACCGCAATTCAATTATTCATTCGTCTCTCATTTATAAAAATCTATACAAATACGAATTGGCTTTGCATGTACATATATAGAAAAATATCAAATACCGTAACAATGTTTATGATATTGTACGAGCCATATGCATAAATAAAATTGTAAAATAAAAATGTTTTAAAAAAAAAGTCTGTGGAGGCTCTGCTAAATATTTTGACTTTAATTTAACTCTTGAGTGGTAGCCAAAACGAATACGTTGGCACTTACATTAAGAATATCAATACAAAGCAGAAGAGTAGTCTTCGATAAGTTTAGACGTCTTTTTGACATGTTTAACATAGACGTTTTTTGATTATTCAACTGAAAATTCACTAAATTGTACAATTTCAGAGGTTTTAGGAAATGGTAACACAGATTAGGAAATACAATTAGAGAAATTCGATGTGTAATTCTTAATACTTAATCTACTTTGTAATTTTTATAATAAAATTCAATTTAATTTTAACCCCACTATAATTCAATAGCTAAGTATTTTAAAACTCAGTATATTCTTGAATTTTAAAATATAAAGTTAATAAATAAAATTTTACAATATTTTCTATTTGCTTTCTATGTAGTACATTTGGATTTTGAATTGAGAACTGCTTGATGGAGTTTTAATATTATAAATTTTCAAACGGTTTAGCAAGAACACCGATACGTTTGTCAACAATATTTACAACCGAATTAATAGAGGGAGCTGATTAGAAATATTTTTATATACAATTACTCAAACATTTCTTTCGTATTGCAACACCTCACTTTATTTAACCTAAACCAAAATATAAAATAAGTATGAGAGTTGAGATTGGGACTCGTAATTTAATATTAAAACGAAAATAAATACTTAATTCTTTATTACTATCAAGCATAAATAAAAAATAAAAGAAGCAAAAGAAAAATCCAAAAATCTAAACAGATTAACAGATTTGGAGACTTTTATAACTAATAAAATTAATTTTGGCAAGTTAATAAATAAATAAATAAAAAAAAAGAAACAAAAACTATAAAGAAAAGCAATAAAAACGTCATAAAAAATCATAATCGTAAATTCTTCATCTTCAAAATAGAAAATCAAATAGAAACGAACGAAACCATAGTTCAATGATCTGGAGAGAAAGAGTATACACTTATGTAGTTATGTAGTTAGTAGCTGTAGTAGTAGTGGTGGTATTTATTAGTATTAAATAGAAAAACATAATTAAGAGGCGTATATAAATAAATAAAATAAAATATTTCGCAAATATTTAGGTTACGGTCATAATATAAAAAAAATATTTTTTTTTTTTGTTTATTTTCTTCCAAATTAGGTGAAACAAAAGAAAAATTATTTTTAATAGCAAAAAAGAAAAAGAAAAATTAAGCATAGAATTTGTGGCACATCAGAGATTAAAATATTAAAAATATTTTATGGGCATACATATGTAGCTACATATGTAGTTGAAGTATTTTTAGCATATGTTTGTATTAGCATCAGCACACACATATAAGTACATTCATACTTACATTCGTATTTCAAATTATAGAAATTATGGAAATAAGATTAATGAAGATTATAAAGTAATAAGAAAGTTTTTGACAAATCTGTGTCCACTTCACAGTTATCTACTTATTTTATATACACAGAAAATTATACTGGAATTTTTAAGAATATAATTAAAAAATTTCTTAAACATTGAAATGGATTCTTATGAAGATGTTTGTCAGAATAATGTACAAACCCCAAAACTCATAAAAACTTAAAAAACTTCAAAGGAACAGTGAAGTGATTTTGATTTCAATTAATAGTTGCACTTAGTAGCAAATAATTTTTAAATTGAATGGAATTCAGAACAAAATTGGAATTGATAAAGTTCTAAACATGATAAAAATTTGAGAAATTTCAACGAAATCGGAAAGGAAAATTCAAATATGAGATAGGTAAGTATAAAGAAATTTTTTTTTAAATGAAGTGTATGAAATTCAAGATTGATAAAAGAAAAAGAAACCGTAAAAATGTTCTTAAAAAGTCTCAAACTTTCAAATTTTAACAAGAAAACATGCACTCCACCAAATGTAACACTTTCAACGGTACCAGATTTTATAGGGGTGTAGTTGCAGACCAATATTTATGTAATTTAGTAATTAAAATTTACCAGAACGAATTTTCGCTAATTGTTTCCGGTGGCTGGCTTTATACTAAGTTCTAAAATATTTATGCATGTACAACCCTACGAGCAAAACTTTTTCAAAAAGTAGTTTAATGTTAATTAGATTTCAATCATGTTTGTGTGTTGTAAGTAAGATCTTTAGAAAAATTTAGTAAGACGCCATTTAATGATGTTCTTGATATTTTTAATTTTTGAATTTAATTCAAATTCGCAATAAGATTAGCCTTAATGACAACAATGACTTACAAGAATAAGTCATGAGTTGTTTCTTATAGATATATACACACATTTGTGTAAATGATTGCTTGGAAGTCATCGTTTGTCTCAATATTCTTCTTTTTATGTTAGCTTTTAAATTTTAACATTTTACTTTTTTTGTTTGGTTTCCGTTAAATACGTTTATTTAGTTTTTAGCGCTTCGCTTTCTTTCTTTTATTTTTTTAATATTCTTTTACATCTTAATACATTATTTATCACCTTAAACAATAATCCACTTAAATATTTTATGCCCAAATTAACCTAAACATACGTAAAGATAAAAAAAAGTTAAAAAGCAAACAGCTCGACTTCAAAGGTAAACAATAAAGAAAATAAAAATTTTGTTTTTAACAATATTAAAAAAATTTTAATAAGTATTTTATTTGATTTTATGCTTCGCATAAAAGTTTTAGTAGACCTTCAACTTTGCCACTACTTACACTTATAATGTAATAATTGAAATGTTCAACAAAAAATATTGTAAAATTCTTCACAGCACGTTATTTTATAAAAATTACGTAAGACTTTAAATTTAAGAATTCTTTTGAAAAAGAAATTTAATTCTAACAAAATTTAAAAAAATGTTGAGCAAGGTAATGGTTTCACTTCCTCATATTATTTTTGAATGTTCTTTTAAATCTATTTTCGCAAGAGTAAGGCAAACTGCAAGTGACATGCATGGAAGAACAAAGTTCACGCAGGTCATTGGTTCTGATATTCAAATTGACAACATGTGATTTTTGACAACCGCATAGAATACGCAATTTTGAAAGATTTTAAGAACAGTTAGAACATCAGCTTTTAAGCATTTTTTATTCTCATAACGTTAGTAAGGTAAGCGATAAGCAATAAGATTCTTATTTTTATGGCTAATTTTTCAAATTTTGCCTTATTATTTTGTATTCCTCTAATATGATAATGAAATTGTTAGAACTTAGAATTTATTTAACTGTCTGTCATCAAAAATATTTTATGTACCCGCATAATTAGCCACTTTAAATTTGTGATCATTTAACCTAAAAAAAAAAGGTGTACTGAATTTCAAAATGTTTATTATTATACTACTGTACTCATAGGTATAAGTAAAATAATACATAAATCATGATACAAAATAAAACCGGGTCAATGACAAATTGATGTCTTAAAAATACAAAAAGCCACCATGCGGAAAAAATAAGAAAAATCATATGAAATAAGAATTATGATGATGACATTTTTTCTTTTTTTACTTTTTTAAGAAAAATTTTGTAGATTATAAAAAAAAATTCTTTCCTCCACCAGATGAAACGGTAATAAAAATATAAAATGAATCAATAATGCTTTATGATGTACGTACATACATATTTAAGTACATATATATATATATATGTAAGATTATACAAACGTATATATGGATATAATCGATTTTTTGGATTCTATTGTATACCGAGTTAGAAAACCTTTAACGCATATTCAGTTTCGAAAAGAATTTCATACAAAAGGAAATGAATGTAAAGGTACATTTAGGTAGAAATTTTTAAGAAAAAAATATCAAAATGAATTCATTATTTTCACATTTGACATATTTATAATAACTTCCCTTCGGATATTAAGGTATACACAGTCATAATTTATTATATCGTTAAAATGTTATATTGAAATCGAAATTAATTATTTTCAATACAAAATGTAAACGAAACAGGAATAAAATAAAAAGGAAATCAAGAGTAAAAAGACATAATTAGAAACAATTAATGTTAAAAATGTAATTTTGTAAACCAGTTTTGCTATATGAGGAGGTTGAGGCAATTACAAAATAGAAATTCAATTTTACAATATTGAATGTGAAACTGTATATGAAAATCTAAAATTACTAATTGACATAAATAATTATGGCTGCCACTGATCGAGAATCAATTCAATACTGAATAATTTTATGTTAATATTAATTTTCATAAACTGTCAAATTTCACCAATACATCAAAGAGTAGAAACAAAAACACGAGCTATTTTACATTAAGTATAACAATATTCAACTTAAACAATAAAATTTTAATAATAATAATAATTAGAAATCTTGTATTTATATACTTACATTGTGTTGTTCTTGGCCTTATAATGTCAACACCACCTTTTGAATTTATTTTAATTGGACCACGATTTGGATCTGGTGTATACCTTGAATCTAATGAACCACCATTATTATGTTTTTGACCACTATTTAGATTTGTTTGTCCAAAACTATAATCATTTTTTTTATAACCAGTCGGATAGGCTAATGCCAATTCCTGGTCTTGACGTTTACTACAACATTTATTACCCATTTTTTAAAAAAAAAATTTTAATTAATCACTATTTATTTATATTTTGTTTCTATTCTTTTGTCGTGTAGAAATGTAAAATATAAAAAATAAAAACAAATGTCAAAATATTATCGTGGCGCCTATTTTTATGCAATTTTTTGTTCTTTTGTTGAAATTTTACTTTTCTTCTTTGTTTTTATTTGTAATTCTTTTTTTCTTTTCTCGTTTAATATTTAATTTTTTTTTTTAAAAAAAAAGTTGTTATCGTATTTAAGTATGTAAAAAATTTTTTTTTATATTTTTTATGTCAAAAATTTAATTACTTTTTTTTTTGTTTTTTACTTTTTTTTTTAATATTATTATTAAATTTTGTTACTTTTTTTTATATTTAAAACAAAAAAACAAAAATGTAAACTTTTTTTTTCTTTTTTGGCATTAAGTTTGGGGGAGAGAGAGTTGAGAAATTATTCTTCTTCTTTCTTTTCTTCTTCTATTTTTTATGTAAATGTAGCGGCTAATTTTGACTAGATTTTTTTTGTTTTGCTTTATTTTTTGTTGGTAACCAAGTTATTATAGATTCTATTTTTAATAACAATGTTTTAATAAAATGCACGCTCCTGGAATGTAAATTTTTGTTCTCCTTCATTAGTGTTGGTGTGTAAATGCAAAAAAAGCAGTTTTTTTGTTTACTTCTTCTTCTTCTTTTCTCCTTTGTTTTTGTTTTTTTATTATAATTGTTATTTAATTAAATGAGAATTAATATACAAGTTAGAAGGAGAAAGTATGAGATGACAAAACAAAATAGAGATGAAAAGAGTGAAATATAAAAGTTTTCAATAAATTCCTTTTGGGAAAAATTTAGGACAATTTGTTTTTTTTTCTAAAAAAAAAATATTTTTTGTCCTACGTGTTTCTCTTATTGTTTTTTTTTGTTATTTCTTCGGTTCTACTTCGGTACTGCTTGCTACTCTCGATCTGTGTCAATATTGAATATTATTCAAATGTATATCAATATATTTATTGTATGCACTCATTTGTTATACATATAGCAATAAAATTCACTTTAAGTAGATATATTTGTATAATTGTAGATGTTATTTTTCTATATTGTTATTAGCGTAAAAAGTTCGTGTATTTTTTTTTGTTTCCTTCTTTCGTTTTCTTCTTCTTTTTCTTCTTCGTCTTTTGTTTCATGTGTTCAAATTACAATGACTGCAGTGGATGGTTGCGGTTATTAGAGTTATCATTTCTCTTTTTTCAAAAAAATATTCAAGGTTCTATCTGGAATGAAAGGAAAATAAAAAAATATAAAAAATTAGTTATAGGTTGAAAATAAAAATTAATTTAAAATTTTATAATAAAAATATGAATTATTTTTTTATATACAATTCATTTTTATATTTATATGGTATAAAATTTTAAGAGAAGTATAGCCCAACGCCAATTGTTTGAATCGATAAATTAATTATTGCCAAACAATTTTTCACTATAACCTCATATAAATGTTGACAGCATTTTTGTTTTAATAGTTTCATTCAAAAGGATCTAGTTCTGGATCACTATTGTTTCGTACATTCTGGTCAAAATAAGAAATTTTCATGTTTAGTGTTTTTCGAAGCTACAATCACTGTCGAATGGTTGATATAAACAAAAAATGTCACGTTTAGATTACGTCCAAATTGAAAGATAAGAAATTTGAAAATAATTGCTCACCGAACACAAAACTTGTTTAATTTCATATTTTCCACAGTTGAGAAATTTGAAAACGCTCTGTTCGCGTGCCAGTTTTCCATTGTAAAGCATAAAACTAAACTGAATCGTTTAACTTTGACAATTACTATAAGAAATCAGTGTGAAACGTGAATAATATTACAGCAAATTAAAACAGTAGCAAAGTCTCTTTAGAGTAATTTACTTAGAGTAATTTGATGCAAAATTTATCGTTTTTTATTTTCGCCCTGTTAGTGAAAGCAGCGCTATTGAAACACTCTGTACCTATACTCAGATTCTCTTTTATTTAAGATCAAAGTCAAATTATTCAATAAATTAAATGAAATTAAAAGAAAAAATAAAGTTGAATCGTTTTAAATATTTTTAATATAGATAATTTCCTTGAACTTCTACGTATCCTCTATTGTAATGTAAAAAAAGAGGATTAAAAAGAAAAACTTATAATCCAATTAAATTTATTTTAAATCTATTTAAATGAACAAAGAAATTGTTATACAAGTGTTCAAACTATTCAGCGAAAATTTGTCAAGCGTTAAAATAGAATTTTATACGTAAAATTGAAAAAATTATTTAATCCGAATTATTGGGAAAGGAAAAATTTTATAAATAATTGTTTTAAATGAACTTTAATACAAAATTTTTTAACGAAAACTTCTACTTATAATGGCAAAGAATCAATAAAAATTAAAATATTTCGAAAATAATTTAATTATACCAGTTATTTTGGAAAACTTATAACCATCGGAAGTTAAGATAAACAATAAAGTTTTAATATGATTTGAGAAATTTTATGAGGTTATTAATATTAATAAGTCAAGCTTCAGACAGCCGTCATATAAAATGAAATCATGGCAACAATTCTGTATCCTTGACATCTTTCTGAATCCATGAGTTATATTCACGGCAACGCACAATTTTGCAGTCTTTCTATTGTTTGTATATGAAAATTAATTATTTAAATTTATAAATATGTTAAATTTCAACTAAAGTTGAAATTGAAGTTTAAATTCGAAAAAACTTTGACATTCAAACGATTTTATTCAATATGTAGCCGATTCTTAGTAGGTGGAAGCAAGAGTCATAAAAGAACCTTAAATTTTCTTGCTAATTTAAATGTACTTCCTATATTTTCTCATTACAAATTTTCTTGAAATCAAATCAAAATTCTTCATCAAAATTTCGCGACATACAGTCGGGAAGGGGGGACGGGGGGGCTTCAGAATGCAATATTAAAAATTTTTCCAACTTTTTTTTTGTATTTTTTATGTCTGTATTTTATTTTAATTAAATTTTTTAAAAACCTTCATATATAGTACATAGCATTCTGTTTTGTAAGAACTTCTTCCAAAAGAAAAACAAAAAAAAAAGTAAAATTTTTATTTTAACTTTGTTAATTTGAGAGCACACACAAATCCATTTTTTTTTTTCAATTAAATATTAAAGGAAAAGAACAAGGATTCTTAAGAAAATTTAAAAAACAAAAAATTTTGTATGAGTTTTTCAATCACTAAAAATGAGGGTTGAGTCTATATACTCAGTGTATATAAGTGGCTCTCTATAACCAAAAAAAATTGTTAGCCAAAGAAGGTTCTCTTTTTAAGTTAAACAACCCTAAATATTTTAATAATCTAATTTAGTTCTAAACAAATAATTTTATTTTTAAAAATATTCAAAATTTCTATATTATAAATTTTTAAGTAGGTTTATTGGGTAATGTAATAAATGACATGCTCCGAAAATTTTATTCGTAATTATAGGATAGAACTGAATAATAAATGATATTTTTAATTATAAAAAAAAAATATGTTTAATATCAAAAACAAAGGGTATTTTGCCAAAAGGAAACCAAAATTTGAAATTTGCATTATAGAATAATTTAAATTTAGTTATAGCTTCATATTGTGCAATGTAGACCTAGTAGACGAAGGGGAGTTAATGATAATTAAGAACTAAAAATTATGAAAAAAATTGCATGTGTTAATTGGCTTTAACCGAAATTCTTAATAAATGAGCCGCAATATGAAAATACTGACTAATTTCGTTGACAATTTTAAATGCAGCTATTCAGATTTTGACGACAATCAGAAAAGATCAGTCATAATTAAAATCAGAAAATATAGTCATAATTAAAATCAGAATCAAAATTAGAAAATCAATAATCAAAATCAGAATTATAAAGAAATCTTAGGGATTGCGCCAACAAAGTGGAAATAAATAACTGGTACCTTCTGACATAGCCTATGTAATGAGACAAGAAATTTTTGCTCTAACATTTGTGGTGATAAAAAATATCTTATATATTGTACCTGTATAAGCCCCATAGTGATCCCTATCGAGGACAATAAGAATGTAGAAAAATTTAATTCTCTAGAAATGGTTTTTGTCTAAGATAACCTAAATGAAGAATTTGTTGTAAATGTTTTGAATATTTTTTTTTAATTTAATTTACAAAATGTTTTTGAAATTGTTAAAAAAATTTATTCACCTTATTTGAATTAAAACACATGCATGTTATTTATAATATTTTCATTTTTTAAAAACAAATATGTTTTTAAAAAATTTGCTTTGTTTTAAATTAATATTCATTTATTCAAAAACATACCAACCAGGTAGGTTTTTGAATAAATGAATGGTACCGAATGAATTCAAAATAAAAATAACTTCTATTTTCTCTTAACAGAAATTAAAAAAAAATATGCAAAATATTTTCTGAAATTTATACAAAATTATTTACATATTTGTAAGAAACAAAATTTTATGCAAAAAAAACACTGTACTAAAATATTTAGTATCGAAATCAAACTATATAAAATTATAAAAACAAAAATTAATCCGTGAAATTTTGATGATGAATATTTAAAACTGTTTAGGATTTGTAAGTAAAAACCATTAATATGAGTATATGACCCACTTGTTTCTGAATTACGTATTCCACAAATGAAAAATTTAAATGGACAGAAGGTAAATTGAAATGATCTATACATATCTCGTATCTTAGTGAGTGTGGAGAGTTGATCCACATGAGGAAGGGTGATTACGTTGTCGCAGCAAGAGAGTGGCCAAAAATCTGGAATTTTGTCAGATAGATTAATCTCGAGGGAGAACTTTGGGCGTGATAGTTGGAAGGAAGGCACAATAAATCCACTTTTTTGGATCACAGTGCATTGTTACCTCAATCTAATCTAATTAAATCTAAAGTATGCATAAAAGTTTTCGAGTTTATTTCGAATTTAAATTTTAAAAATTTTCTTCCCACATCCTTTTATGTGAGAAACATTCTCCTCGTCGTAATGCAATTAGAATTTCAGTGAATATCAAAGTTTCAAACCAACATAAAGATGTATTCAAAATATGCAATTGAAATTTTGGCAGATCAAAGGCTAAATTGTCATGAATGTAGTATATATTCTATTTATATTTGAAACAAACTTTCATGACAGCTGTAGTTCTCTTTGATGTAGAACAAAAATTAATTATACATTTTTACAAATTAACCTTAAAATATTTAAATTATTTTTCGTTCTCATGTTTTTTTTCATAACATACAAAATTTAAAGTTGAATGTTAAAGATTATTTTCGACTCCGTTAAATTTCAGGTTCTTCTAAAAAATAAATAAAATTTTTGTTTATTTATTTTTTTTTATTTTTCTAAAGAATAATTTATCCTTGTTCTGCTTTTCCCTCTATTTTGTAATATCTATAGTTTTTAAATGTTTCACATTATTCTTACTATTATTTTTAATATTATTTGTGTCTTGTGTAAAGAAGATTTAGGACACTTTTCACAATTATTTGAACTTTTCCAAATATAAAAAATTGTAATGAAAAATAATAAGAAGAAAATTTTTATGAATGCATTCAAAAACATCAAGAACACAAGAAAATATAAAATGGAATTGCAGTCATAATGCAAACAATAATAAAAACAAACTATTAAATTTAAAGTAAAAGAATATGAGAATAAAATAAGAGAAAAACCAAATGCGAAATTTATGTTCAATTTCTTACTTTTTACTCAACTGAATTTACTCAGCAACAAAAGATTTCATTTACCTCTCTCTCTCTATCTCCCTCAGTAAGTTTATCCTCTCTTCTTACATGGTTTATATAATGACAATAAACAATGCATGAATGCATGGTGCCAGTAAACTACTAGCGGTTACCAGTACGTTTCTTAATGTTCTCTTCTTTATTTTTTATTTTTACCCCTCTCTTTCTCTCTTTTGTGTTGAGTTACTGTTGAGTTCAAATGCTTTAAAATAAAAACGGAAAATTCAATATGAAATTTTTCTCATTTTAAGTATTTTGTTTTTATTTTTTCCTCCCAGAGTTTTTTGCACAGATTTATGTTTTAAGGATATTTGAGAAAAAAAATCAAAAAAAAAAAAAATATGAAAATATTTTATGTGCTGAGATTTTGTTCCCATATACTTTCATTATTTTCAACATTTTATTTTATTTTTGAATAAGTTTTGAACAAAATAAAAAACACTCCTGCACCTCATATTCACATATTTTATATTATATTTTATATAAACTTTCATATATA